CAGTCCTCTGCTTAATCCCTCAAAGGGCTCCCATTTCACTCAGAGTAAAAGCCAAAGTCTTTATAATAGCCTAGAAAGATCTACATGATCTCTATTTTCATTACCTCTTTGACCTCATTTCCTTCATCTCCTTACTACTGTCACGCTTGTTCATGTCACTCCAGACACACTGCCCTTCTTACTCTTCCTTGAATAAACCAGGCAAGCTGCCACTTCATAGGCTTCTCCCTTTCTGGATAATCACCCCAATAGCTGACTTGCTCACCTTCTTCAGGTCTTTATCAAATGTCACCTTCCTGGTGAGAACTTCTCTTACCACTTTATCTTCTAAAATTATTAGCCCCACACTCTCTATATTCCTTTTCCACTTTACTTTCTTTTAGGCATTTATCACCATCAGACATACTATATATTTTACTTATTTTTCTGACTTAGAATCTATCTTCCACTGCTGTATCTCTAGCACCTTGAAAAAGGCCTGGCACCTAGTGACAGATTAATATGAATTTTCTAAATAAATGAAAAAGGCACAGAGAACTTTTGCATGGCAGGGTTCTTTCGAAACACTCTGTGAAATGTTAAAAAAAATTTAGTTTTCTTAACCTATGAAGAGAATACAAAGACTGCTAGTCAGAAAATTTCATAACCATCATTTGATCATTCCACAAGGGAATGATGCTGAGTGTTGTAAAGGTAGAACAAATGAAAATGCATATACTATGGCTAGTAGAATTAAATAAGTCTAAAGTTTTAAGGGGCCCTGGTGGTGCAGTGGTTAAGAGCTCAGGTTGCTAACCAAAAGGTCAGCAGTTTGAATCCACCAACTGCTCCTTGAAAACCCTACGGGAGCAGTTATTGTTTCTAGCAGGAGAAGAGTTATCAGGTTCCTTGTGTTTCCCTCAGATAGAAGAGCCCTTTAATGAACATAACCTTGGGTCTCTCCTCACAGACTTAAAATGTCAACTCTAAAATTCATCCCAAGGACTTTTAATTTTACAGTCTAAGAAATTCTCTCAATTAAGCCATAGGATACCTTCCTGCCTTCAACAAGAACATTAAAATTTCTGACTTAGAAAAACAGCAAAATAATTTTAAAAAGTAAAAACAAACAAAATGTCCTCAGTGAAATTATAAAACTCATTAGCTCGATAGTTTCTTTCCAATGAAGACAGCAGACTCTTTGTGACTGTCTGCACATAAACAAACAAAAAAGAAGTCTCAAAAATGCCCAGATGATTTCTGTGACAAAGAGCTTTCTCAGCAGGACTGGTAAAATTGTGAATTGTCTCCGCTTAATGTAACCTTGTCAAATGACCACATCTGAGTTTGGTTGCCTGAGTTGGCTTCTCTCCTAATCTTTGAAAGCCATCTTGAACTGTGTCACTCTTGCCCTTGGGAACTGCAGAGTCTTTATCTTTTCTATACCCCTAGTTTTGTTGTTTTCAAGCTGACCTTGGCTTTCCTGAAACCCGGTGGATCATAGACTTCTCAAGTTATGGAGGGATCTAAGATGGCTGTGTTACCAGGTTAACAAAGATATGCTGACACGAATGTCAGTACTTACTGTCATTAGATAACTGAAATGACCTTCAGTGAAATTGCCTCTCATTCAAAATGAGCCACTATTTGAAGTCACTATAATGAAAAAGTTTATTTGCTACAAAGCATTAGGGGAAGTCCAGATTTAGACAATAATTTCTTAACTGACTACTATAGGTAAATCTAAATATATTATTAATATTCTTTGAAGAGAGGCTGGAATATAAAAGAGCACTGAGATTCCCCTGAGAAACTGAGATTAAAATGGGTTAATGGTCCACACAGGTAATGCTTGATACAACCAATTGATCAACATTTTGATTTTTGTAGCTACTGTATTGCATGAATTGGTTGATTGTTTTCATGCAAAACCATATCAGACACAGATTTTAAAGCTTCAGATAAACAGAAAACTAATAAAGAGAAAGTCAGATGTTTCATAATCTGACATGATTTGGTTTAATCATGGTGACTTTAGAAGTATAAATGACATACTAGAAGAAGGATACACCTTCTCCTCACTTATCAACTATCTCTTTATCTGACATTTCACATTTACAACAACAGTAAAAAAACTACTAACTGACTATTTTTCACATTAACAATGTATATCTGGCAATAAGGAACACCGAGGTGTGAGGCGAAAGTAATGCTGGCTGTGATGGTTAAAGTTATGTGTCAGCTTGGCTGAGCCATGATCTTCAGTGGTTTGGCAGTTATGTAATGATATAATTGGGAAGTTATGTAATGACGTAGTCATCCTCCATTTTGTGATCAGATGTGGTCACCACCATTTTTGCATAACACCAATTTTGCCTAACAACCTGGTCTTTGGAACCTAACCATGTCAATAAGTGAGGAGAAGGTATACTTATGATGTTAGCTGTGATGCGCTATATCAAAGTAATATTCATGTGTGTCTGATAACTACTAATCGTGGTTTCCCACTTTAGACAAATGAACATAAGGTCAAGTATAAAGGAGGAAAAAGCCACTACACCACAAGAACCAACAAAAATTTTTAGAGTAAGGATATAAATCTCTTAGTCCACTTTGTCATGAAAGCAAGCATATATCTGGTGAAGGTAATCTGTTTCTACCTGCACTGCATCTGAACTCTAGTGTGCATCATTACCTCAAGTTTCCAAACGCCACTTGAAGAGCACCATTAGCTTGGGTAATGAGCATAAAAGACTGACCAGAATAAATATGATGCTAAAATTAAGCTCCTACCAGATTTCATTCTTAAAGTCAGTGGACAGTTTTCCCAAAGGAACAGCTGCACAGCATATTATATGACTTCAGTCAAAGGATTACTTACACCAACACTGAGGGAGAGGTAATAAACATTAACCTTCCACATGGAAGAGATTGAAACACATGAAAAGTACTCACTCAGTAGTCTAATTTAGAGAACCAAGATTAAAGTTGAATAAACCTCTATGACAGCCTGTCAATTGATTCATGCTGGAGGAAGACTAGTGTCTTTATGCTCAACACCACCCCCCATGTATCAGCAGTGTCAAAGAAAAACAAAACAGTATTTTCACTGTTCACATGATTATTGTAATGCTTTTTCACTGTTAAAAACAGCAAATATTTCCTTACGCTCTCACAGTCAAGAACACACTAAAAGTTTGTTTATTGACTTATAATAATATGATTCTAACATACATGGGTGCTAAATAAATGTTTTCAGAGTGAATGAAAATTTGTGATTTTTAAGGTTTCACTTAAACCTCTGCAGTGCAATGGATCGCTTTTGTGTGGCCTTTCTCGCCACGGTCTTGTAACTCGCACCCAAGTGATTTGATGAGACTGTGCAAATAGGGTAATTGTGGCCCACCAAGGGGGATGATCAGTTTTGCCATCCTGCTGAGCTTGAAATAGGCCATCCCATAGATGGGAAAGAGAGCTCTTTCTCTGCCTTTCTTGGTTTCCTGTTTCCAGGAGCTTCTCAGCA